CTGAGCATTCTAGTTTACAATTATTTTAGCACGTAATTGTTACTTTGCACTCGCCCAGTAAACCAAAAGCCCTTGCTATTCCATCTCAGTGTCTCTGTATTCTAAAATACAGTGCCATGTATACCTCACACTCCTGCATGATCAGGCATTAACAGAGAGGCTTCCCCCTGCTGTTTCCCTGCTTCACCACAGTAATGAGCCAATTAGAGACAAGAAGTCCAGCAGTGATCTAGAAGGGGGTCCGCATAGACAGGGAGTTATTACAGGAGGTGACACAAGCCAGTGCACGCACTCAGATATGGTGTTTCTTTAAGTCCCTTTCTAGACCTTCACCACTAAGGCAACATGCCAAGTATGGGTCCACATTTCCATCATTTTCACATCTTTGTCTCTGACCCTTTATCTGAAGCGTCCAGTCACAATCTCCGATAAAAAGGCGTATCAGTGTGGACTCTGCATGTTCTCCCTGTGCCTGCGTGGGTTCTCTCCGGGTGCTTAGGTTTATTGGTGACTCTAAATTGCCCCTAGGAGTGAGTGTGAGTGTTTGTCTACATGTCAGCCCTGTGATAGACTGGCAACCTGTCCAGGGTGGACCCCGCCTCTCACCCAAACTAAGATGTTTACCACTGTCAGCATCTAGTTTAGTGTGTCAGCATTTACTGATCAGAATTAAACCACAGTAGAGCTGAGGCTGATGGGAATATTTTCCAGCTATTTAATCCAAATCCAACATACTACAACCAACAAATTACGATGGTGATGAGAACATGACAAGAAAAGTCAGGGCATTAATAAAGGTGTGACATCTCATCCTGAGAAGGACATGATTGTATTCACAAATGCAGTCTTGTAAATTTCATGGCAACCCAACAGTTGTCGCATCATCATGGCACTAGAGGAAAACTCTAGGCATCTACAAGATCAACAGGATTCATCCTCTGTGGATTATGAATGTCTGTGCAAGGTTTCAGAGCAATCCATCAAACAGCTGCTGACACATTTCACTGTGGACCAAAATGGTGGAACAACCAACAACATCACCCCTGGAACTACGTCATGGATAAAATCCCAGGAAACGTTTAGCAGCTGTTTGAGCTTATCTGTATTTGTCATCATTTCAAAGTTGCCCCAGAATGGATTTCTTTGAGCGCTACTACAGAAAAAACTCTGAGATGAGACAAGTGGTCAGCAGCAAAGATTAAGTGTAAAGAGAGGCTGTCAGGAGCAGCGATACCAGGGAGTCGCATTATCATGAAAGGGAGGCAATGAGAAGATGGAAGTGTAGTCTGTCCCACGTGAGTCACAGCCCAACACTCTCAAGCATAAATGCACACAGAGCAAAGCAAACACAGCAGATGGCCAGGGGATTACTCCGCCTCTAACCCCACCTCTCTCTCTTCCCAAAGGGCTGCTGAAGCTTTACTTGTGTCCCTGTCATTCCAGCAGTGTGTTTGTAAGTCTGTCCTCTGCTACTGTCCTTACCTATGGCATCTGGTGGCCTACAAACTGTTTCCACCAAAGCCGGCCTTTATCTTACATTACAAAATAAAAATCACTCAAGCTCCAGTTTTTGTGCTGACCTCCACAAGCAGAGATACTGAAGTCATCAACATGGTCAACAGTTAACCTGCATGTGTTTACCTCCCATTACTGCAGTAGATTTCATTACAATGCAGTTTCTTCACAGTGGCCTGAGTCAAGGCTCGGCAAGTGATGTAATATCATTACTGTATGCATTTATTCTACTGCTAATTGCCATCCAGAAATAGCTGAGTGTGGGTACTGACTGAGCTGTCAGAGACGTATCCTCTCATCCTCAGATTTTCATTCTGCAGCGGGCTGCCAGCCGCTGGGCTGGCTCTCTGGGCCCTCGACACAGTGAGGAACAAGGAATGAGCAAAACTGCATCACAGCTCTCAAGAGACAGTGATGCCACTCTTCTGGTTTGTCTTCATTTCACTCAATAACATGGAAAGTTTGGGGTCCCTCAATCAGAGAGAAAGCATCTGCTGGGAAGAGACTGAAAGTGGCTTCGGTCAAAATATGGCTTCTCAGGAGGACAAGGGGATGAAGAATTATCTCTCAAGAAGTTCAATAAATGTCATATCAGGTTAATTAGGAGCAAAGGAGGAAGTCAGGTGATGCTATAGAGCAAAAACATCCCTGGAGGGAGGAGGAGCTTTAAAACAGAACACTGCTCGTTTCCAGTTTCAAACCCTCAGTCAACATTGCAATTTTTAAAGCATGACTGTTCCCTTAACCCCGTTTATTACTGTAACCATGATGACAAAGGTCTCAAAATACTTATTTTATCCCAAAGCATGTCACCAAAGCTGATTTTTACTAAAGCACAGTCATGTCATAAAACTGTACTTTGTACACCAACAGTTTTTAAAGGCACTTAAAGTGATGCCGCCCTGTCAACAGGAGCATCAGATCACAGAATGTTTTTATGTAGATTGTGTACTAAATCACATTAACTTGAATGTACATATAAACTATTTTAGCCACAGGTTTTGAACACAACACTGACATACTGTATCTACACTTTTTAAGTTAATATGGTGACCAGTGTTTGCTAATTTACACCTCTAGCACTGACAGAGCAACATTATCATTCATTTGGAGTCGTGTGTGTGGCTAATTTCCACATGTAAGTTCAATATTCTTTCTATTTTTGCTCTGTTTCTGGTCTCTACCAACCCCTGAGGGAAATATCTGATTAGCTGCTAAATGCTTCACTGTGTTCACCAGCTAGTCTCTTATTGTGTCTCTGTGCTGTTGGGTAAGTAAACAATTAGCTAAAATTCACTATAAAGCTCCATAAAGACAAAGGGGAGCTGTAGATTCTCTGCGGGTTCATAGCTATACCTAACTTTTTTCGTGTTTTCACTGCGTTCTCATGTTGTTATTGTGTTATTTTGTTATAAAAATAACAATCATAACTACTTTAAGTAACTTGACCCCACACATATTGTGAAACTGAAAAAAACATCTGTGTTTGTGTAGAAGATTCTGTGGATGTTTCTTTTGAGAGTAATCGTGTGGAGCTAGAAGCAGTTCCCACGGTTTTGTTATCAAGATAAATATGACAAAATATCTGAATAGGTTACAACATCCAGCTCGAACTCGATGCTGTGAAACACTCAGGTGTGCGGAGAAGATTCACAGAGATGAACACGAGCCACACTTTCTATCCAACTCTGTGCAAGCTATGAAACAACATGATGATCTTTTTTTATAATTCCACGCGGCTGAGCCCACTACGAGCCAGCTGCGCCTCCTCCCTTCCATCCCTCCGACCTCACCTCCATCTCATCACCCTGTAATAGAGAAGTTTGGTGGTGCTGGCCTTCCAGCCTCAGGCGGTACTCGCACCCAAGATGAGAAATGGTCCGAACCGATCAGTGAGAAACAAAATGCCAGGGGCTGAGAGTCAGAGATAGGCAGACAATAGGCTGATGGTGTGAAAATCAATCAGCATGTCTGTGAAAGAAGAGCAATTTGTAATCTGGAAAGGAGCCAATGTGTTAACTAAACTGGCAGCAGAGGAAGATGCATCTGTTTTTTACCTTTAATTAACTAAACTATATCTTCCTGAATACACATGCTCTTTTTTAACAACTTGTTTCCTATTCTTTCACTTCTGCTGTCCAATAAAAATAAAGGGCCCAACGCACCAAAACTCGCTGTTGCTGCAGTATAATGTAAACCAGTACAAATCCTTAAAAGCCAGTTTGACAATTATAAATCATAATGTCAGAAGCAGAAGATTGTGATTCTGTTACCTGTTTAATCATGTATTTACAAATTTAAAATCTATATTTGTGATCAATATTTATATAGCTCAATAGTATTTCTCATTTTGATGAGAAGATATGCACTGAGTGGGACATTTTACATTTGAAAATTAAGCTTATAGGTGGTTTTTGGTGAATTACACTATTTCTGTAATTATTTTCTCTGGTAAAACCTCTTGTTACTTTTCAAGCAAACATATACACAAATATTATATATCCATTAGAAGCTAATATCTGGTGATATATTGGTGAAGCTGATGTAACAGTCGGGCTCTAGTTCCAGGTTGTATGTAATCCTTTTTCACTCCTGTTTGGGTTCATTTAAGTGATGAAGTCGAACTTTTCTAAAAGTCAGTCAAATTAATTCCTCAAAAAAGATTAGTAAAGAAAGGTGTTGATCTAACCCTTTCAAATTCTCCAAATAGTGTCGCTGCCCAACATATAAGACACTCTGTTGTAGTCCTTGGTATAAACCAGCCTAGAACATGATCTCAGCTGTAGATTTGTCACTTCTGACCTAGTTAGGCCTGAATATAAACTGTTTTAGTATGTTATAACACCTCACTACCTCACCAAGCATAATAACATATCCAACTCCACCATGTGAATTACTAAGTGCAATGTTGGAAGTTCACTGGGAAAATAGTATTACCCTATTTTTGTGTATTGCGGTTTTAATGCTTTATTGCCTTTATGTAACTTTTTATTTTAAGACTAAGTGTTCTTTCTGGGTTTTGACTCCTTACCTGACTCCAAAGGAGAGCTGCACAAGAATTAATTTAGCCGGTTCCCATCAACCACCACATCAGAACAGAGTAGCCTGTAAAATCCACTGAGTTTTCATCCTGACTCCATCCAGCCATTTATACAGCTTGACCATTTAACAGGCTCCCAGGTTTCATCACCTGCACGGAGCCAGGTGAGACTCCATCAACATAAAGTAACATTTCATAATACCCCTTTAGATTTTGCGTTTATTCTGCTTCACGTTTTACCTTCACTTTCTTTACTCGGTTATTAATAGTGTTATATCGCCATAGGAAGTTGCGGTTTTGCTATATTAACACAAAACTCTAAAATCTACTTCGGTATTAACTTTGCGTTTCTGATTCCAGCGGATCCGCTCATACTCTGTTTTACACCAGGACTCAGTCCAAATATTTAAAAACGGATAACCTACAGCCATGAGACGAGCCTTACCTCTGACACACAGCAGGGACATCGCAGCGGGATTCGAGCGACAGTTCCTCCAAAGCCGACGAGCCTTCGGTGAGTTTGAAGCCCAGGTGCCTGTTGCGCCGCAGTCATTCAGACGACACCTACACGTTTACCTCCCGCCTCATCACACTGTGTCGTACAAAAACTAGACAGATGTGAGCCAGGGAGGTAAACCAACGGGTCCGGAGGGTTTAACAGACCGTCGCTGGCACAGACCGATAAACTACCAGCTGAAATCCGGTGGAGCGGGCAGGCTCATGCTGCATTCAAGGACGGAGGTGAAGGTAGGAATTTGGACCCGTGGCCACTAGCCTACAATGTGACCTATGCATGTACAATATGCTAAATAATTAAAACATTTTAAGTTTAAGGATGCAGTGAGATTTATTCAGTGACTGTTGCACTTTTTTGCAAATGAAAAATTTGAAAGTTTAGAAGTTTCTATGTAGATACATAATTGATTTAGGCTATATAAAGTTTTCAAATCAGTGGTAATATTAAAATGCAATTCACTCGCCACACAAATCAAAATCTACGAGGGCCGGTAAAGGCAACACAAAAAGCGGTCAAGGCAGAAAGGGTAGGGGGGGAAGCATTTGTATCATACACCTGCTTGTGATAAGGCTCGTCATCTCATTTTCTTACGTGCAGCCACAGCGCTGTTGAACTGCCAACAGGCCGTAGGCATTAGACAGCACCCCCGACACATGCGTGTTTAACCTTAGATTCGTCAAGCCAAAAGAAGTTTAAGTATAATCACTAATGGCATATTTGAAATCTTAAAGTACATCGTAGAGCATTTTTGTAAGTTTTATTTTGAAATTGTGCATGTTCACTGACACCATATAGCAATTAGAGCACAACTGAAGCCATTGGCTGGACATTTTCCACTAGTGGTATACATTCAGGTCAGAGGTAACGATGGTTTCTCTAAATGGAATGAACTGCAAACATCCCATAGAAGCCCAGTGCAGGTACTGTTAACCATACTGCTTTAATTATGACCCAAATTAAAATACCACTTGTTTTTGCATTTACTACCTGCTCATTGCTTTGTGTCAGATGGTGCCATCTGTTGGCAGGAGAAGGTCTCCTGCCAGTTAGTGAAAAGGGGATTTGTTCTGAGAACTGATCCTGAGGTGATTGCCTCATTGAGGCTGAAAGAACTGTGTGGAAACTGCCTATAATGGCAGACAAGGGAGGGGTTACTTAAAACAAGCTGCTATAATTAAATAAAAGTCAACTTTTATAATGTAACATACAATTGTTAGATGTTCTAGACAAATTCACTCCCCTCCAGCCAAACAATATTATTCAAGGACAATATAAGGATAGGTGCTTCCCAACTCAAGCTCAAAAACCTTCACTGCATCAGCTGAAGCCTGGTGGAAAGCTACAGGAGCTCTGTAGCTCAATAAACAGCACTGGTTATGACCTCAAACACAGAAATTGAAGGCAGTTTCAAGACCTTGTGAAATCAATTCAAGTGAAGACAGCCATTTAGACAAAGTTTTTATTTTCCAGAGATCAGATCAACTTTGGCGAGTTGAAGAGGTCCATGCACTTCCTGAGGTGTTGTCTGAAACGACAGTACAATTAGTCATGCTCACCTGGTATACAGGTCAGAGAGTTCAGGTACTTATTACAAACAGTCTTACTTTTGGGATTGTCAAACACTGCATGCGTTAGGTGGGCCTGTAGTGAAAGCCACTTCCTTTAACACCATTATGCAGTCTGAACCAAAAGAGAAGGAAGATTAAGAATCACATTTCAGAATTACATAGCTGAGGGCTGAAATAATGTCAACCTACCCTGTTGAATCCACTTTAGATGCACCTTTAGCCTGGGGAAGAGGAAAACCAACTTGACTGGACCGGTAGCTCAGCACTTGGTGCTTAGGTTTAAAGCTAGGAACCTGATCCTGAGTCTTGGGTTTGTAGCTTGGCATCTGGGACTGAAGCTTGAGCAGATAGCTGGGCATCTGGTGCCGGGGCTGATACATCTGGGGTACTTCAGGCAGTGGCAGCTGTGGAACATTGGGCTGAGGCTCATATGACTGGGACACCTGCTGTGGCTCAGGAAACTCCTGGGGAAACACTTTGGGATGCTGGGGCTCCTTGGGCATGTATGACTGTGGCACTTGTGGGACCTGCTGGGGCACCTGGGCTGCCTGACGCTGGGGCTCCTTGGGCAAAAACAAGTGAGGCACATGGGATACCTGATGCTCCTGAGGCACTTGCAGCTCCTGCTGTGGCTCTTTTGGCCTGTACAACTGAGGCCCATGGGGTGGCTGATGTCGGGGCTCCTTGGACAGGAACAAGTGAGGAACATGGGATACCTGACGCTCCAGCAGCTCCTGCTGTGGCTCTTTGGGCCTGTACAACTGAGGCACATGGGGTAGCTGATGCTCCTTGAGCTCCTGTTGTGGCTCTTCGGGTCTGTACAACTGAGGCACATGGTGTACCTGATGCTCCTGAGGCTCATGGGGTAGCTGATGCTCCTTGGGCCTGTACAACTGAGGCACATGAAGTAGCTGATGCTCCTTGGGCTCCTGCTGTGGCTCTTCAGGTCTGTACAACTGAGGCACATGGGATACCTGGTGCTCCTGCTGTGGCTCTTCAGGTCTGTACAACTGAGGCACATGGTGTACCTGATGCTCTTGAGGCACATGGGATACCTGGTGCTCCTGAGGCTCCAGCAGCTCCTGCTGTGGCTCTTTGGGCCTGTACAACTGAGGTACATGGGGTAGCTGATGCTGAGGCTCCTTGGGCAGGTACAACTGAGGCACTTGCAGCCCCTGGGCTGGCTGATGCTGGTACAAGTGAGACTCGTGTGGCACCAGAGACTCCTGAGCTGGCTGAGGCTCTTGTGGTTCCTGGGTCAGCTGATGGTGGGGAAGGTGCAAGTGCGGCTCATGGAACACCTGCTGGGACAGTTGAGGCACTTGTGGATCCTGCTTGAGCACCTGGGCTTGCTGAGGCATCTTGGACAATTGAACCTGTGGCATATGGGGCAAGTATAACTGTGGCACCTGCGGGGGGACCTCTGGCAGGTGCCACTGGGGTGCTTGGGGGGACTGGGGCTGCAGCTTGGGCATGTAGCCAGACACTTGCAGCTGGAAATCATACTTGGGCACATGGGGCTGGTATATGGGCAGGTAGCCAGGCACCTGGTGCTCAGGCTTGGAGAGAGGCACCTGGGGCTGGTACATGGGCAAATAGCCAGGTACCTGGTGTTGGGGCAGGTGGCTGGGCACCTGGGGCTCAGGCTTGGAGAGAGGCACCTGGGGCTGGTACATGGGCAAATAGCCAGGTACCTGGTGTTGGGGCAGGTGGCTGGGCACCTGGGGCTCAGGCTTGGAGAGAGGCACCTGGGGCTGGTACATGGGCAAATAGCCAGGGACCTGGTGTTGGGGCAGGGGGCGG